TTAGAGCCCACTCTACAGTTCTAAGTAAGTTTTTAATATGGAATAGTTTCCACGATACAGTCGTATTGTGATCGTCGTTTGCCGACCGATTGTATCGTTCATCCGAGTCTCGAGACAGCGATTTAAGAAATGACCTTAATATTCCGCACCACCACTAGCATATTCTCTTAGGTGGAATAGAGGCTATAAATTCTGTCAGATCTTTGAAAATAAGACACAACTTTTTTTTCATTGCACAGTGAGGAAATCCTGTTTATCTGCGGCCGGAAATATACGATTCCGCTTTTTTTTTTTCGTAGGGGCTCATATTCTAAACGCTGAGACGATTCAACATTCGCAATTTCCTAGAACACGCTGGTATTTACCAAAGTTCTGTTGGTACTTACTGCTGCCACACTATCGTTGAATTTTAGGAAAATTTAACTCCTTCTTCTACTCTTTGCAGTTTCTTATTACTAAAAGCTTTTTTTAAAAAACTTTTTTTATTGCACAGCGAAGAAATCCTGATTTTCTTCGGCCCGAAATGTGCTTTTTCGTCTTTTAGAGAAGCAATTTCAGAAATGAGAGAACAGTGTGGAAGCGTAAAAATTCCCTTTAAACCTATCAAGTTCTAAAGTTCACAGGTATTCCAGTTATCGGAAATTTATAGCAGCGATCAAAAGCATGGTGTATTAAATTTAAGAAGGCTTCTGTAATCCTCTGATGCTCCGCTGGTATATTCATGAATTATTGGATTATTGAATTATTTGGCTATGGAGGTGTTTGGCCGAATGGATTGCTGTCAAGTTGACCCTTCCAAGCTCTGAGGAAGGCGAAATCCGCCGAAACGTCAGCTTGTGCGTAAACAAAGAAATAAAATAGCACCTCGCGCTTGCTGAACAGAAGTACAATGATATATTCATGAATTAGTTATTGAATATCTTCTGAGTCTTGAAACATGCCAAGTTTTCTGGAAGTAGGCCGTTGATTCACTAGAGTTTTTCACGATTTAGCTGTATTAGGCAAAGTTTCCAGGCAACATTAATTCAACTTTTACATTTTTCCTGGGTGACATGCGGTCGGGCGTGGTCGTTCAGCGGAATTGATACCTTTTCGACCTAACACATTTCCGATTAATCAGTGTCGATTGCGTACGTTATTTTTCACGATGCGTTTTCTAAACTTTTGGTGATATTCTTTTGTAAACGCTTAGTCAGGGTCGAAGAAGCTTTGAGTACATGACTTCGCTTTCTTACCACGAAAAAATTTTTATTTACTTCTTACACTGCAAGTTTAATTACGGAAGTTAGTTTTTGAGCCTACTTTAATCCAGGTGTTAAATAGACCGCCTTCAGTTTCCCTACAGAATCCGATTTTCGTCGCACCTCATCTCGAGTCGGCGCAGCCTTCATAATCTTTGGTTGCTTCATTTTCCATGTGGTATCCATTAGAGAGTTTTTCCTATTTTTGAATTTATCACTCGTTTTTGGAAGCTAACATCCTATTTACATCTACTCTTTCAGCATCTTTCGGAAGAATTCCACGTCGATTTAATCCTATTAGCATCTTCGAGTGATTATCGTCGATAACACCGGCCTATCCCTAACTTGTAGCATCTTCATGATTATCATTTCCCTTATTGAAGTTCTCAAAAACAAAGCTTAAAGTTATCATTGTCAATCTTTAGTCTTTAATCGTCATCAATCATAATCATTATTGTCAGTTCTCTGGTAATATCCAGTGTTGATATTACATGCTCTTGTCGCGGCCTGACGTCGAAGTCTCAGATCACACAAAATCTTTGAAAAATTGGTCTAACATGGTTTTTGCGTATCTATTTCACTGTCGACACCGTTTTGATGAAATGGGAATATCAACAAAGCGATGTGGAAAGAAACCTGTACTACATTGGAAAACATAAAGATGCACAAAAAAGCAGAAAATACTGTTCTAAAGCAAGACATTATTATGTCATACCTTTTTATTTTCTGCCTACTATAATTTCGCGGCAGGGTACTGAGCGATATACAACCACAACGTTGCTGAGATATTTGCAAAACTCTGGACCGCAGGTGTCTATGGTGAGAAACGAACGCGCTATTGTCCTTTCCGGGGAGTAGTGCACTTCGCCACCACATCATGCAGGTCCTTTGTTTCGCCTGTCTCTTAGCTAGTTCTATCGATCTTTTTGCTACAGCAATCACCCGTCAGCGGGATTGATCTGGGGAGTCCAAGTCGGCATAGAACCCAGTTAAGCTGCGGCTGTAGTTGAAACCACAGCAAGATATTATTGTTTGGACATGTAGGGCCGACTTCATTTCTGGAAAAGCTATTAATTTCACGAAAGTTTTCCGGGAATTTTTCTCTGCCATTTTACGAAATCGGCCATCTAATATTTAAATCATTGCGTTTCTTTTGAAATGACTTCATCGTGGTCGCTTCACGAAGTTTTAAAGAAGATACCATCGTCTTTTCACAAAAACACGGTCACTCTCCATTTGTGTAATGTCTCTCATCTTATTAAGGAACTGACAATTATAGCAATAATGTTCGCTGTCAGTTAAATTTGACTCAACGAAACCTGTTCCGGACTTCCCTAGTATTTGCCTTCTGTTCTAACACTTAATTCTTCGGTCATAAATGTGAAGCTTAACTATTCGTTGCATATGTCGCTTCTTCAAGTTAGGATACTACGTGCACTGTTCGGAATCATCCGCTGGTGAGTAGTGATTGAATCCACTCGAATTTGTTGAATAAAAAGTTATCTGTAGAATTTAATGCTAGAATTCTCTACGCATACATCGTGAGAACTCCATTATTTAACAGTCATACATTTTTCATCGCCCTCTTGATTCCTAGCTAATCTTTCATAACGTGATAAAACGTTCAGAGAAGATAGGGAGATACCTTAGGGAGATACCATGCATTGGACTTGAGTCCGTGTTGTAGACTCTGTTTATCTGTTTGCATATTTGCCCAAAAGAACGGCTTATCATAACCAACGTGATGTGGAGGGCATAACAGACGAACTTCGTGATCCTCTGCATTCCCTTTTCAATTCTTTATTTGCTGCGCAGACCTTTGCTTCACCTTTTGTATTTAATTGATAACTTGTCGAAAATAAGTGCTATATCGGGAATGCTCTAAAGTTGTTTATAAATTTAATAGATTGCAAAAAAACTTTTTTCTGGGCTAGTTTATTTTACTGTGAGACTAGAGCTGTTGAAGAAGGTATGCACGGCACAAAATGTTTACAGTGAGAAGAGCACAGAAACGTCTACATTCAACACTTTGGGACGGTTTTTCACGGTAAATCGTTAGTAGACATCGTCAAAGTGGCGTAGTGTTTACAATATATGCGTTGACGAATTTAATGAAACGGTTGAGAAATACCGCATAGTGTGGTGATGAACACGTTACTCCCCGGAAAGGACAATATCGCGTTCGATCCTCACCGCAGACACCTGCGGCCCAGGGTTTTGCAAATATCTCAGCATTTTAGAAGTTATATCTCAGCAATCTTGTGGTTGTATTTCGCTTAATACCCTGCCATAAAAATTATAGAAGACAGAAAATAAAAAGTAAACATGGCTAAGAAATCGTTTTACCATTATTGTAATGCCTTAATATTGCATTGTAACACCATGTCTCCATGTTCTGGGTTCACTAGTACCGCTTTCTCCAAGAAAATGGCAAGTCAACAAGTTCTTTCCCTCCAAAAGATGTGGGAGCTTCTTAGAGCAGCTATCGGATAATTCCAGATGGAATCCACTTTACTAGTACGGCACTCTTGACCAAGGCGCAAAAATCTTTAAGCAGCAATCAAAGTTACACGCAGACATATTCCAAGATCTTTGTGAATGATGGTTGAATGACGGCAAAGCTAGTGTCCAGTGCCAATAAGGATGTAGCATTTTGAAGAAGTCGCGGAATATTTCGACTCTTGAGCAACTTTATCTGGAATGTAATGAACAACTCAGACTGCGTTCGAGCAGTGTGTTGCAATAAAATTGTCAACACGATCTGTTTATTCTGGACTTGCAAATCCAATAAAAAAACTTCAAGTGGCAGGTGATTTAGAATCTCGGTGATTAGCTTTTTTCTGATTGCTTTACACAGATATCCACACTGATAATCTGGAATCATCTTGTGGCTCAGGATTGAGCCATAAGTGCAAACACTATTCGTTTCCACTTTGCACCTGAGCTACCCAGTAGACTCCACTCTTGTAAGGGGCATGAAATTGGTTGCACTTTAATATAATGTCTTTTTTATAGCTTTTGGCCGGAAATAAGTTATATGGAGGGCAATCGGTGCTGCCATGACGTTTGCTTTCTTGGAGCTAAGAGACAATGTACTAAAATCACTCACTCACAGTAGCATTTCAAACATGTTGTCCACTACATTGTACGGTTCTCAACCTCAATCTGAAACCACATTATTCTTTTGCTCTCACCGCTACGAATTTGAGACAAGTGGTCAAATAGTTACCTTCAGGCACTCTAGGCGTCTAAATTGTGCGCAATTTTCCGTGTTTGAATATCTACGATACTTAGTTACTTACCACTGCTTAGATCGCCTGCTTTTAATAATCATGTGGCGAACAGCATATTTTCCATTTCTCTTTCACTTATGATCGTTCTAACCTATTTCGAGCATCACAACGTCTTTGAGAATGATTACGTGAGCGCTCAGTACGTCTAGAATTGGGAATGTATTCAAACTGTAACAAAGTAGCTCTCAATATTCTTCTTGAGCAAACACGAAGTGTTACTTCGCTCTTTATTCCGCTAAAGCTGACCTTTCGGCAGTATCGCCATCATCAAAGCATGGAATGGTATACTGAAATACAATTTACTAAGCCAAACCATCTGATCAACGCCAAGGTTAACAGAAAGTCAGTCGAAGGAAATGTAACAAAGTAGTTAGCCCCTTCAAGCTTCCTACTTTTGGAAGTCAATTGTATTTCTTGTATTACAACCACTTTTATACAGACGGATGACCTTCTACTGGCGGCTAGCATGGCAGCTACCGTGTTCAATGTCATGGTAATATTCTGCGCTGTTAAGTTATTTAAACGAAGCGGCGATACCATGCATCTTTTCATCTTAAATATGACCGTTGGAGATCTGATATTAACAGGTAAACCGAGTGAGGGTCTTCGCATTCGAACATGTCATATACATCTTATTTTTGCTGTAAACTGACATACCGTGTTTTCAGTGTTTTGCCATCCAAACGAGCTACTCATTCGGAAGCACGATTTTCTACAACAAATTCATCTTTGTGCAGTTGTTCATTACTTCAACTGGACTGGACTAGCGGTTTCTGGCTTGTCGCTCACAATGCTTAACATTGACAAGGCACTGTTCCGTCTATTAAGGGCACAGATTCTGCAACAAACAAGTCATTATACATACAAGACAAATGAATTTAACTTTTTCAAGCTTTCTTTTGATAAGCTAATTCGATTGAGCTTTCCCTAAACAGATCTGAGGTAACTTTACCCAATTCCTGAAGAAGGAGCTTAATTCAGGTGTTTTTAGCAAAATCCAAATTAAAGGTCAAGTTTATCAAATTTTATTTCCCTGACTAGTGACCGATGCTGGAATCCGAAAATATAAAAACATATAAAATCTCTTTGCGGTGCTTATTCATGACTACAACGTGCAATGTACAAAGATCTCGTGTGGTTATCTAACATATTTTCCTTTAGAAACAATTGTAGCACTTGTTCAAACTTTTTTGTTTAAGGCCTACTCCTTTTTTATGGCATGGTATGATGTGAAGTACAACGACAAGGATGCTGAGATATAAACAAAGCACGAAACTTAAGTTGGGCTTCGAACTCTAAGGATCCTTTCCACGGTTACTCTTTCCGCGGACTCGCGCGTCCACGATACCAACCGAGGCCTTCGCTTCGCCTCAGTGTGGTGGACTGCGCATGCTTTCAGGGTAACCGCTGGTTCTAAGCCGGTCTGAAGCTCCGAGTTTTGCTCATATCTCAGCATCGTTGTGCATATAACAAATGAGTTTATTCTTCGAGTAAACTTTTATTTTTTTCCAAATCATAAGAGGATGTTCTCTCATAAGCGCAGCACAAACAGGAAATCGGGAGCACGTTTAGACTAATTATTCCATATGTCCTAATTTTAAATTCAGTTAATCTATTTTCGCTGGCCACTGAACTACGACCGATCAATGTCGAAGCGAAGAGCAGCCTTATTCTGTCTCCTAATATGGGGACTATCCCTTGGGTAAGAAAGCGTGTGTGTTTTGCGTCTGTTTTATTACACTAAATATTTAACAAGCTCGTAATGGCTTTTCCTCCCAATGGCTTACCGCCTCATCATGGCTGCGAGGTGCTCCTGGGTGTCGGACTGCGATGCACAACGAGGGGATTCGCCCACCTCCCCGGCAGGGTCCCGGCGTTCCCATCAGGAGGCCTAGCTAAGAGTAAACCAATTCTAGGATCGACCACCGTCATGGTATCAAACTAGTCGCATGGTAGTAAATCTCCCTCTGATCCACAAGGGCTGCAACTGCCCGTGGTGGTGAAGACCTGGGGCTGACTTTGCCCAGGCTGACTTCGGGACTCCAGGAAACCATAATGGCTTACCCAGCAAATCTCCGAAAAATGTAGATTATGCTGGCGCCCGCGCATCCAGTGAGGACCGGCCATTCAAATATTAAGTAAGCAACTGCTTCGAATGTCAATCTAGGATTTTCTACTACGCAACCCTCCCAACGGCTTACCGCCACATCATGGCTGGGTGATGTTCATAGGTGGCGGGCTGCGATGTACAGCGGGGGGATTCATCTTCCTGGTAGGGTCTCCCAAGCTGAAAAGGAGTCCGGCGCTTCCAGGAAAAAGCCTAGCTAAGAGTAAACCAATTCTAGGATCGACCACCGTCCTGGTATCAAACTAGTCGCATGGTGGCAAATCTTCTGCTGATCCAGAAGGGCTGTAACCGCTTGTCATGGTGACGACCTGGAATAGATTTTGGCCAGGATGGCCTCAGGACTCCAAGGAAACAAAGTGGCTAAACATGCAAAACTGCGAGAAACGGCATCCGTAAATTTCCTATGAATGTGTCATGTATTTGACTCTATTAACCACCCGAGAGTATGTCTAAGCTTTTAAGCTCTTCAGGGAAACCTGGCGCCAATTCACCTCCCTCTATACTCCACCAGTACGACATTGCAGAGAATTCCTTGTAGTTTCATCAAAATGTTTCAGTAATCTTCTGGAATTTTCCCATCACGTAAAATTGAGTAGACGGTTAAACGTCGCCGAACGTTGCAGTCTAATGGAACAAAGGAACCCTTTCTGTTAAAATTCTACCCTCCGACAAACACTTTGATTCTCATTTTATACAAAAGTTTAGGGAGCTTGTTAAAAAGCGGGATATACACAAGCCGTTCCCGACTCAATGACAGATGGCGTCTTTTTTCCAGGTTCATATCGTACTGCTGGCTGTTCAACATTGTTTACATTCATTCTTTTGATTGTTCCCTACAGATAAGTCTCTTTGTTGCTTTTCCGCAAAATTTTTCTACTTATGGTGTTTAAAGTGATTTTCCAACACCTCTATTACAGATGTCGCCGGGTAAAAAGTTCTATTACGAAATTTTTTTAATCTTGTTCTGTGTTCTGCCTGTCACTTCTTCATTGATTGTGTCTATATATTTATTTAATTTAACTCGCCAAAAAAGAAATGCTGGAAGTGGAGGAGACACTTCTGCTTTCAAAAGCAAGGTTTCTTTCGATGATTTTACCTCCTTCTAGTTTCCTCTTCTGTAGAATCTTACTGTGTTTTCGGTTCAACGTGAAACTCTGTCAGGTAAAATCGCTGGTCTTCATTTTCGCAACGACAGCCTGGACATCGTGCAGTTTGTTACCATATCGAATCATGAATCTGGCTAGGATCCACCTTTTTACGTCAGTTTATATTTCCGGTTCTCTACTTTTTTAAATCGCCGGCTTATGTTTTCTCGTTTATTGATTGATACAGCCTTCTCGGGTCCTCTATTTTTCATCATTCTTGTTTCGAACTTGACTGTTTAAAGTATAAGAATACAATGGGAAATAAGTATTCCAAAAAGGGGTAACGCTGGCAACTTTTCAGCTTCCTTTCGCTTTATGGCTAACTGCATTGTATGGTATTAATGTCAATGCAAACTAACAAAGAAGTAGAAAAAAGTGAACTAAGTTTCAGATGGTCTGAACTCTCGTGTGAAGGAAAGCAATTGATGAATTGGATAGCGTGGATTTTAATATATCTCCTCACTATTAATCCGGTATAACCTCTTCTATTACCACGTGGTATCTATTTTGGACGGCTAAGTAAATTTACATAAATTTCTAGATCATTAATCCTTTAATCACTTCACTAATCTATGCGCCCTATCGTATGACGATTAAGAAGTTCCTTGTGAATATTCCTGTTGGGAACCGGCCATTCTATAACTATCAAGGAGAGCATCTTCATCTGGATAGCAGGTACATGGGTATGCAATGTTGGATGGTTAGAAAATGCTTTTAACTTCAACACATAGGCGAAGATACCCAATATTCGGTGGATGCTGCATGGAAAATCGCATAACTTTTCGAACATCGGTCGTGCTTCCATCCGTGACCCTCCTCATTCCCTAACACCGAAACGAGTGCACAAACACAGTTCCATGCAGCAGAACGTGCGGATCTATTATGTGGTTGGTGCCCGTGTCCACTGTGCTCGCGTGGTAGAACCAAAACTCTAAAATTCTTTTTTAACTTTTAATCCTCTGAAAATTTAAAATTTAACGAATATTTCATACAAATTATAAGGGCGGTTGAGCAGAGGCTGTTCTATAAATCATGAAGTTCTCAGCTTTGCAAATACTCTAGTGGCCGAGAAATTATTGTAAATTCTGGAAGAACTAGCTTAGAGCGTTATATGCTAATCAGTTTTTCTAGGTCTTTGCCCAAGCACAATAACGCATTACTTGTGACCATCACCGCATGCAAATGATCGACCTTGCGGATCGTACGGAGATTCCCACAGAAATTTACAATTTCCTAATCCTAAAGCGAGTGGAGGCTTCCTTAACCCTGGGAGGATTTCCGAATTTATGCTTTACGCTTATAAAGCATAAAGGATAAAGTCCTGATCAACACCTCATGGTTACACCATACGTCCGACTTCATCAAACATAGTAGTGATGATTGAGTGCATATCTAGCCTATACAATAACTTTCAATGACCTATCAACGTATAACGTCAGTGCTGGTCCCCTTCCATGCAATCTCAGTACTGATTTCCCGATTCCGGATCGAGAGAAGTTTTGGTGAGTCCAGGAAGCAGAATCGAACCAACGATCACGTTTTACTGCAGTGCATCGCTAACTAGCGCGCTACACGCGTTCATTTTCGATGTATATTGAAAGAAATCTCTACCACTGCACTAATTGCGCTTCGCGCTCTCTTGAGTGTCAGTAGTGATGCTAATCAACTTTGTACGGTACTTACAGGACAACGTCTGACACTTTGTTTGCAGTAACAGAAAGTGCTCCTCCTCAGTCTACTGTAGTGTAGTTTTGTAAATGGAATAGTCAGAACAACATTTTAATGTCTCACGCGTAGCGCTAGAAGTTTTGAGTAGAGAACATCGAGTTTGCTGCCACTTTCTTACACACTGTAAACATATAGCAGCTTTGCATCGGTTCGTCGCAGTCGGAATCGCCGCTCATCGTCTACGGAATCTGCTAGTCTCAGACAGTCCACTGAGGTATGTAAATTGTTCACATTGGAAAAACTTTGACTTAAAAAAATTACTTCTATCTCCTCTACTGCTTGCGATTCTTCATGTGTTTGTTCTTCTAGGTGCGAATGTCTATGGGCGAACCGTGGACGCCTTCAAAAAGTCCATCAAAAGAGAAGTCCGAGCAAGAATTTTGTTTTGAGAAGAAAATGGAAGTAATTAATGAGGACTCTCAATCTCGCTGAGGTAACCAACAAGGTGTTCCAACTTCTAAAGAGAACGATGTTATTTTACTTTCTCTTTGCCGCATTACACATCAGAATTAATTGGGTGGTTTTTGGACGAATGCCATATTTTTGTGGCAGCATTTACTTCACCATTTTAACTGGGCTCCTTAGCGATTTGGGCTCTTCAGACCAATCCCGTTGGCGGGTGATTTCTGATGACCTAATCGATAGAACTAGCTGAGAGACAGGCGAAACGAAGGACCCGTGTGGTGTGGTGGTGAACGCGCTACACCCCGAAAAGGACAATAGCGTGTTCGTTTCCCACCGCAAACACCTGCGGTTTGGAGTTTTGCACATATCTCAGTTTCATCGTGGCTGAGTCACACATAATATCCTGCCGTAAAAAATTGTGACAGGCAGTAAGTAAAATTTAACCTTGTATTTCGGGGTTGCCCAGGTACACCGTGTTTTACTGTGATTCATTCAAAAGCCGTCCCCTTTAAATTAAAGAAAAAACAAATTTTCGCACTTGGAATGGTTATCTTGCTGCTTATGGCAATAATTTTGAGCATCATAGTAATACGTAATTATAATACCAAATGAGACTATTTGATGCGTTAACCCCGACTGTAGAGGTTGTAGTGGGTGCCATCATAGGACTCGTCAGATGAGTGGTGAATTAAGATCAGTTTCCAAAAATATTTATGTGAAACAGTATGGATGTTTTTCCTACTAATTTTCAGCGTTCTACCATTGAAAGCAGAGGATTTACCTAATACCGTTGATTTTAAATGTGATGCAGGTGAAGATGCCATTCATCAGTTGAGGAGCATTTTTGTGTTGCTAAATTGGTCATGTTGATTGTTGTTGAACATCGATGTACCTTCTCTTTTGTTAATTGCATTCCTTTTCTAGCGAGGAATAACGGAAGCTTATTGAATGGGGTAGAGATATGAGTTGTTCTTCAATATCTTGCTCATCCATTGTCGAAACCATATACTTTAATTTTTTCCACAGCGAATCGTAACATTGATAGTAACAATAGTCAGTATAAATTTTTGTTTATGATGAGATTTAAACTTACGCCGGTTTGATATTTTATTGTCCCGAAATGACAAAGTTGACAGGGTTGATGATGTTGTAGGATAATTGGTGGCATAATGCCTGCCTTCTATCCTGTGCAATCCCTCGCTAGCGATTTATTTTGTCACATAAAGCATTTTTGCCGCAATTCTCTGTCAGCCATAGCGCCTGAAAATCCGTACTTTCCTCTTAGTGTTTTAGAAAAGACGTTTTTCTGAACAATTCCATTTTGCGAACACTGTGAACGAGTTCAACTAACCATTCATGCAACGGCTGCGCCTAGTGTTAACTGCTTAACGCGTCTTGCAGTATACTTGAAATCCTGGTGCCTCTATATCGTTTTACAACATCGCAATCAGGTGTATGCGGTTTGGAAACACTTGCCGTGTCCAAAGAAACGCAAGCAGCCGTTAACCGTAGCGTAATTTAAGGTTCTCACTGAAATCCAAGCGTAAAATCTGTTTATTAAGGCACAACTTGTCATTTATGCATGAGCCATTTTGTTTGGTAATTTTTGTTAATGTTCTAAGAAATGTTTGATTTAGGACTTCAGCTGTCACGATTAGATAAGGTTTCTCGTTGAAGGAGCTAAGACTTCTGCAGCAAACCTATGCAGCATGCCTCTTGAGAATGGAGACTTTTGTTCTTCGTAGCAACTTTAATGACCTTCTGATAACGGTACCACTGATTCGTGAGAAGACTGGTGAAATACTGCGCATATGTTTCTTTTTGCGCCATGTTATTATTTGCTCGCTAACTCGTGACAACCCAAAACAGTGCACAGCATTTCACAATTTGGTCTACATCAAGCACCAATTTGCTTCTCCTAAATAAGAAAGAGATCGGCGAGGAGCCTCAGTGCTGCAGTGGGTAAAAGGCGAACCCGTGGAAAGGATCCTTAGAGTTCGAAGCCCATTTGAAGCTCCAAACTTTGCTCATATCTCAGCATCTCTGTGGTTGTATTTCACGTCATACTTTACCGTGAAAAAATAACGGGCAGTAAATAAAAAATTGCACATTGCAATTTCGACTGTAGCCTGAGCATAACTGGATTCAATGCCGATTTATTCCCTCGAGATCATTACCGTTGAACGGTGTTTGCTGGTGACACCGTTATGTGGCAAAAAATGTCTGAGAGATAGGAAAAGCAAGAACCTCAGTGGTGCAGTGGGTAACACGTGAGCACCCAGAAAGTAGTATATTCGCTAGTTGGAAGCTGGCCTGAGTTCATAGTTTTGCAAATATCATAGCATTAGAGTGGTTGTATTTCACATCATGCCATGCCGTAAAAAAAATGATGGGCAGTAGATAGAAATTTTTAAGCTTCAACAAAAAGATTTTTCGAGGGAAGCTTTTCTTCCACAGTTTCTAAAGAATATCTTAGTCATGGTATCTTGATCGTGTATTAATCCTTCATCTCTTTTGCTTGTGCCACTGTCATATTAAAATCGTTCACCTTAGAATGATAGAGAAACAACTCGTTATTGTGAGTCTGCATGTTGGATTTTCACAAAAACAACAAATGATGCTTGGTGTGGTTTCGATAGGAGAATTGTGATACGACGTCGTGTTGTATTTTCCAGAAGGGCTCCGTAGTGCTCTACCTCACCAGTACACTATAGTTTCTGTCTCTGCGATTCACCGAGTTAAAGAAGGTGAATGTGATCGCTTGAATGTGATTTGCGAATAGAATACACGTTCACTCGAGCAAAATTATACAATCAGTATCACTGTAACGTCTGTCGAAGATGATTCCGAATCGTATCCAAACAAGAGCCTGCATGCCTCTCTTGTGATCACCATAGAGGAATTATAATGAGATAACATGGAAATGAAAGACGATGGCTGACAACCGTATTTCATTTTCATTTTATTGATGACGTTCCCTTTATAGTATCAGTTATCATACATGTGGAATGAGTACAAACCGATTTCAATATCGTACGTAGAAGAATGGCTTTTCGGTTGAGGATTAAGAAGACGATCTTTATAAGTAATAGCTTCTTTTTTGATGTCCCATTGGACGTCAAAGGAGAATGTTCCATATCACATTAGTGAGGGCGAATCCAATGTTCTGTCCTACGCCGACGATCGCAAATCAAGGAGGCTGCAGTTTGCATCAAGTTGTCGAAAATCGGAAGGACTGCACTCGTAATGATATAATAAGGACCATTGGAGAAAATCTGTTAGACGAGATACTAAGCACATAAGATGAGAACAGTCGGTCTGGTTGTCTTTACGGAGAACTAGAAGAGGATTTGATACTCATTGTCTCTCCAGGTGGATTTAACCCATTAAATAATTGTGAAAAATAGCATAAAAAGAGCAAAACTGGCGGATGGCCATTTTCAACGACTGTCAATGTAAGGACGAGTGATTTAAGTAACGAAAGTCACCGTGTGTGAAGCGTACAGCTAAATCGTAAGGCTATGACACAGATCACATTTACTCTTGTGTGAAACCACTGCTTCAACTCATTGATTTAACTTAAAA